TGGGGGGCTATGAAGGGGTGTGACTATGTGTGGGGGGGCATAGGGTATGTTGGGTGGTGTGTATATGTAGAGGGTTGTGGGGGCAAGGTGTGGGTGTGTGGCATTTGTGGGGTGGGGGGGGTGTGGGGACTCCACCCACACTCCCCCTATGGTGCAGCAGCAGCAGGCGGGGGCACTTGCGCTCATGCCCGGTGCAGGTGCCCAGCAGCATGTGGCTTCAGCCAGCACTGCATATAGTGGTGAGGAGTGCAGCCCCTGCCGGGCCACTTGTATCACCAGCACTCCCTGCCATGCATGTGCAATCCCTGCACTTGCCATAAGAGGGAACCCCATGTACTGGAGCCAGCTGCCTTCACCACTTCCTGCCGCACAGGTGCAAGGACTCTGTGAGGAAGCAGGGGTGGCACTTCCTGCCGCACTTCCGGTGGAGTCCTGGGAGTGGCAGGGGGCGGGGAAGGCAGCCGGCTCCAACATGTGCGCCATAGGAGGGAAGCTCCACAAGTGTGGGGGCTGTGTGCGCATGGTGGGGAGCACCGGCAATAGAGGCAGCCCAGCATGGGCCATATTTTGCCTGCCTCTAGCTTAACCCCTTAGGAGGGGACAGAGAACTCTGGTTGGTTGGCTTTTGCCTCAACAAATGCCTTTGCAGAGACAACTATGTTGCGCTGCTTGGAACGGAATCTTCCCAAAAAGAGGTAAAGTCCCTTTCTCCAGTGTGGAACTGGATACTTGCTTCTTGAGTTAAGGCCACAGAGAACCAGGGAAGGTGGGAGACCAAGAGACTGGGATCTCAAAGTGGGCAGAAGCCCAGGCTTCACCCTCACTTCAGAAACCAAGCCTGCTTCAGGGGACTCTCAGGGCTCCTATAGATGTGCAGCAAGGCTGCTCCACTGTGCTTTAAATTCAGCGTGTCAGAGCAGACTTGATTTAATTGAGTCTGCTGGAGTGCAGAAATGAACATGCTCCTGTAGCTTCCAGTGTCATGTGTATCAGTTTCTCCATGCTGAAAAATAGCTTTAGTTCAAAGAGCCCCACCACCGTTTTTCAGCATGGGGACAGTGATGCACATGATTCTTGGGTGCTTTTAATTAGTGTGACTTGCTAATTAAAGTGCCCCTGCCTCCTGGAGCACATCTATAAATGCCCTCAGAGACCAGACAAGTCTCTACCAGTCCTGGACAGAGAAGCTGCTGCTCTTTCCAAATGTTTGGTTTTAAAGTTTGAATAGAGCAGGAAATCAAATTGGGGTGTAACTGCACCTCCCCCTTAGATCTGCCCCTGCCTTCTGGAGGGGAGAAGCCAATGGGCTTCTCTGGAGATTTTGCCTTATTAATTCTCGGGGTCACCTGAAGTTCATGGTCAAGAGTGGGGAAGGGACAGACAACCTCTGTCCCAATGCTGTTTTAATGACCCAAAAAACTGCTAACTGGTTTTCCTTCTGCCCCCATTTCATGTTTGGAAAATATGAATTTGTCTCCCCTACATTTATTCTTTTTGCAGGACACATGGTTTCTATTAAAGAGAAGGAGGGCAGGAGCTCCATGGAAACTTCCTTGCCTTTCAAGCACCAGAGGGGAGAGCATTTATTGAATGAAATTTATATTTACTGTCTTGGGTTAGAAAAGGTGATAAGGGAGAAAGTATCATGGGTTAATAAGATGTGTATTCTGGGCATATACATTAGGAGTCTTAAGGGTAGCAGTAAGAGCACAAGGTTTGCATGCTGGCCATATTTTTGTAATAACTATGTGATTATTATGGAGCTCCCTTCCTTCAGCCCAGAGGCGATGCATAGGGAGTGCACATGGGTGCACGCGCACGTGCACCCCTGAGGGTGGTGCATCCCCTACAAAAAGGTGTTGCTGACATTGTCGGTGGTGCCTGCAGGCACTTGCCACTCGCTGCCCCGCCATCAATGCTGCTGGTGGCGTCTGCGGGTGGTCTGCAATCGCCGCTGGCCACCACTGACACTGCTGGCGGTGTCTCTATGGGTGGTCGCCAACCTGTGGTTGGCGTTACCCCCCCCGCTGCCAACAGCACTGATGGTGTCTGTGGGAGCTCCCACTTATTGTTGCCGTGCTCCTACCTCCGCTGCACCCCCCCCAGCTGCCGGGGGCATGCGTCATTCATGCTTCAGCCAATAATGATATAGAATAAATTCCCAAACAGAAGAGTGAGGGTCCTTGTGGCACAATATCCTTGTACCTTGATTTCAGCAATTTCTTTCCAGTATCCCCAAAGAGAGTACACTTTGCACATTAATTCTACCATATTTACCTGAATCCAAGAGGAGTTTGAATTTAAAATGACCCCTCAATAATTAGATTCTATACATGACGTATGCCCCAGGTTCTGCACAGGGCAGGGCGAGGTGGGCTGCAGCCAGGGTTGCATGGGGCTTTTCTCAGTGGGTGCTGGGCTCAGAGTGGGTGCTGGTGGCACCAGGGGGCTGCTTTATCCACCCCAGATTTTGCTGCTTCTCCACTCCCAGCACCACCAGCCCCCTGGTGCAACCCCGGCTCAATGCCCTGCCTCCACCCATGCACCAGAAAGAGCCAGGGCTGCACTGGGCAGCTGGCAGCAGTGGCCCTGGGAGCAGAGCTGTGGCCTAATTTGAGGTGGATGCAACATCCCCCCAGCGCCGCCAGCACCCGCTCTGAGCCCAGCCCCTGCTGAGAAAAGCCCTGTGCAGCCCCAGCTACAGTCCACCACATCCCGCCCTGTGCAGTACCTGGGGCACCCCCCCGTGCCCTTTCAGGTGCAAGTAGCTACAGGAGCCGCCTCCCCCCACGCGAGCTGTGGCTCCATCCCCCCCAGCTGCCCCTGCCCCCTCCCTCACTGTGGGGGGCATTGAT